GGGCCGGTACCAGCGCTCAGCCTGGCGGCTGCAGGGCGGTGATGGGCCGGTACCAGCGCTCAGCCTGGCGGCTGCAGGGCGGTGATGGGCCGGTACCAGCGCTCAGCCTGGCGGCTGCAGGGCGGTGATGGGCCGGTACCAGCGCTCAGCCTGGCGGCTGCAGGGCGGTGATGGGCCGGTACCAGCGCTCAGCCTGGCGGCTGCAGGGCAGTGATGGGCCGGTACCAGCGCTCAGCCTGGCGGCTGCAGGGCGGTGATGGGCCGGTACCAGCGCTCAGCCTGGCGGCTGCAGGGCGGTGATGGGCCGGTACCAGCGCTCAGCCTGGCGGCTGCAGGGCGGTGATGGGCCGGTACCAGCGCTCAGCCTGGCGGCTGCAGGGCGGTGATGGGCCGGTACCAGCGCTCAGCCTGGCGGCTGCAGGGCGGTGATGGGCCGGTACCAGCGCTCAGCCTGGCGGCTGCAGGGCAGTGATGGGCCGGTACCAGCGCTCAGCCTGGCGGCTGCAGGGCGGTGATGGGCCGGTACCAGCGCTCAGCCTGGCGGCTGCAGGGCGGTGATGGGCCGGTACCAGCGCTCAGCCTGGCGGCTGCAGGGCGGTGATGGGCCGGTACCAGCGCTCAGCCTGGCGGCTGCAGGGCGGTGATGGGCCGGTACCAGCGCTCAGCCTGGCGGCTGCAGGGCGGTGATGGGCCGGTACCAGCGCTCAGCCTGGCGGCTGCAGGGCAGTGATGGGCCGGTACCAGCGCTCAGCCTGGCGGCTGCAGGGCGGTGATGGGCCGGTACCAGCGCTCAGCCTGGCGGCTGCAGGGCGGTGATGGGCCGGTACCAGCGCTCAGCCTGGCGGCTGCAGGGCGGTGATGGGCCGGTACCAGCGCTCAGCCTGGCGGCTGCAGGGCGGTGATGGGCCGGTACCAGCGCTCAGCCTGGCGGCTGCAGGGCGGTGATGGGCCGGTACCAGCGCTCAGCCTGGCGGCTGCAGGGCAGTGATGGGCCGGTACCAGCGCTCAGCCTGGCGGCTGCAGGGCGGTGATGGGCCGGTACCAGCGCTCAGCCTGGCGGCTGCAGGGCGGTGATGGGCCGGTACCAGCGCTCAGCCTGGCGGCTGCAGGGCGGTGATGGGCCGGTACCAGCGCTCAGCCTGGCGGCTGCAGGGCGGTGATGGGCCGGTACCAGCGCTCAGCCTGGCGGCTGCAGGGCGGTGATGGGCCGGTACCAGCGCTCAGCCTGGCGGCTGCAGGGCAGTGATGGGCCGGTACCAGCGCTCAGCCTGGCGGCTGCAGGGCGGTGATGGGCCGGTACCAGCGCTCAGCCTGGCGGCTGCAGGGCGGTGATGGGCCGGTACCAGCGCTCAGCCTGGCGGCTGCAGGGCGGTGATGGGCCGGTACCAGCGCTCAGCCTGGCGGCTGCAGGGCGGTGATGGGCCGGTACCAGCGCTCAGCCTGGCGGCTGCAGGGCGGTGATGGGCCGGTACCAGCGCTCAGCCTGGCGGCTGCAGGGCAGTGATGGGCCGGTACCAGCGCTCAGCCTGGCGGCTGCAGGGCGGTGATGGGCCGGTACCAGCGCTCAGCCTGGCGGCTGCAGGGCGGTGATGGGCCGGTACCAGCGCTCAGCCTGGCGGCTGCAGGGCGGTGATGGGCCGGTACCAGCGCTCAGCCTGGCGGCTGCAGGGCGGTGATGGGCCGGTACCAGCGCTCAGCCTGGCGGCTGCAGGGCGGTGATGGGCCGGTACCAGCGCTCAGCCTGGCGGCTGCAGGGCAGTGATGGGCCGGTACCAGCGCTCAGCCTGGCGGCTGCAGGGCGGTGATGGGCCGGTACCAGCGCTCAGCCTGGCGGCTGCAGGGCGGTGATGGGCCGGTACCAGCGCTCAGCCTGGCGGCTGCAGGGCGGTGATGGGCCGGTACCAGCGCTCAGCCTGGCGGCTGCAGGGCGGTGATGGGCCGGTACCAGCGCTCAGCCTGGCGGCTGCAGGGCGGTGATGGGCCGGTACCAGCGCTCAGCCTGGCGGCTGCAGGGCAGTGATGGGCCGGTACCAGCGCTCAGCCTGGCGGCTGCAGGGCGGTGATGGGCCGGTACCAGCGCTCAGCCTGGCGGCTGCAGGGCGGTGATGGGCCGGTACCAGCGCTCAGCCTGGCGCGCACGGGCGCTCTCTGGATGGGCCTGTCCTGCCGGTGTGGGGATGGGCACCGAGGGGCACCCCGGCTGAGCAGTGTGGGGAAGGCCGTGCCACACATCCGTGGGCATTGCCTGGGCGAGGATAAGGGTCCAACTGCTTGCACACCTGGAGGGAGCGCTCCCTCAGCTCCTGTGGGCACAGCCCAGCTGGTTGGTGCACAGGGCCGTGGGTTCTAGTCCTGTGTCCCCATGGTGGGGGCCGGTGCCTGTGGGCAGTAGTGGGGGGGGCCAACCTGGCCAGGCAACGGCTCTGTGCTGCTCCCCTCTGTCCCTGGGATCTCCCGGTGTCTGGCTGCTTCCCCTCCCCTGGGCATGCCACCTGACCCAGTTATGTAATTAACTTGGCAATGCAACGTGATGAGCAGACTGGATTGGGGGTGAATGCTGCAGCCAGGAGGGGAGGCGATGCTGGAGGGGCCCATCTCTAGCTGGAATGGGTCTGTGGGGGACCCCATCTGGTGAGGGCCAGACCCCTGGAAAAAACATTGTTGGGATTGAGCCTGCCTTGGCCCCTGAGAGGGGGGCAGATGCCCCCAGTTCTCAGGCTGTTCGGCGGCACTAGGTTGCTCTGTCCAGGTGGTTGCAGGCACAGCACAGACATTCAGCTTCCTGCGCCCCCCTTGCTCTAGCCACTAGACCCTACTGCCTGCCCAGAGCTGGGGGCAGAACCCTAGAGTGCGTGTGTGTTGCGGGAGAGGGCAGATTGGGGGTGCCCGGGAACGGTCGCGGAGCCCACAGGGCCAGTGGGGGTGGGACCCTGACGGGGACCAGTGTGGGGTGCTCGCTGTCTGGACTGCCCCATCCTGCTGTGGGAGGAGGAACAATCCATGGGGCTCAGAGCTGGGCTGGGGGTTTGGGGCAAGCAAGAGTGGGGAATGGGGGCAGGGCAGGAGCAGGACCTGGGGCAGAAGTGGTTGTCTCAGGGCCCTGCAGCCGCTAGGGGTGGCCTCTGGGGCCTGGCCAAGGCTGAACAGCCATCACTGGCCCCTTGCTGGGATGGACTCCCCCAAGCTCCAGCTCCACCCATGGTGCAAACCCCGCCCACTTGTGCCTGAGTGAGCCGGCAGCTTGGGCCCCTGCCATCAGTAGGTTTCAGAGTCAGTGCCCCGTGAGGCGGGCTAATGGTGGTACCCTGGTGATGGTACCTGTCCTGCCAAGCTGCCGGCAGGCACAGGCAGGGGGGGGCACTGGGGTGGCCTGAGGGTCGGCTGGTTTTCAACCAAGCTGTAAAGCTGTAGATTCTGCAGCAACAAGATGCCACCCATGCCACCCGAGAAAATCTTCTGGCTCACAGAGCCACGTGGTCCAGATCGCAGGCTGTGGGGTTGGAGTCAGAGTGCAGGGCCCAACGTGGGGCATTTTCTCTCCAGAGAAGCTGTTCAGACCTCAGGCCGCCCCAGCCCTGCCTGTCACCCCCGCCCTGCTTGGCTCCCCCCGGCTTGGCCCAGCCCTGGCCGGCTGAGCTCACCCACGCGGTGAGTCTCTGGCCCCGGTGGCCCCCGGTGGCCCCCGGTGGCCCCAGCAGCATGGGCTGTCTGACTGGGCGTCGCTGAGAGGGGAGTTAGCAGGGGCCCACGGGCCAGGAGTCTGCCCAGCAAGCCCAAGCTGCAGTACATGGGGCTGTGGGGGGGCACTAGTGACATTGGAGGGGTGGAGCATGGGGCACTTTGGGGGTCCCCTGCCCCTGGCAATGCCTGCCTGTGGCCCCCAGAGCAGTGGTCCTGCAGTGCCTGGCGGAGGGGGCGGGGGAGCAGCAGCTAGGCCAGAGTGACTCCCTGTCGTGGGGTTTGGCTTTTCGCTACGAGAGGAGCCAGTAAAAACGCTTGTTAACTTTATTATACACAGAACAGTAAAGGAAAGCAGTGCAAGGGTACACCGCTACATTGCAATACACGGGGTACTTAGTACAGGCAATAATAGAACACCTACACCTAGGGCAATACCCAAGAGACTTGATTTTAAAGATACTTATTTCTATAAATCACACACACACACACACACACACACACTTCTCTAAATCACACACACACATTTCTAAAAATCACACACATGCTTATTTCTTTAAATCACACACATGCACACACACACTTCTATAAATCACACACACACTTATTTCTATAAATCACACACACACACACACACACACACATTTCTATAAATCACACACACACACAGAGTTCCACCACCAAGACCTTACAATTATCAAATGGTTAGATGACTGGATGATTCTCAGATGACTGTCAGACGGGAGGTCGTGGCCTCGTTTCCAACGCACAGAGACACCCACAATACATCAGTCGGTAGGAACAGGCACAGCCTCTAGTTGCAGCAAGTAAGGTCGTGGGGTCCCCTTACCCAATCCCTTCCACCGACTGTCTTTTCTACACCTACTTTTATAGCAAAGCAAAGCTTGAGGTGGTCGGTCTAGTGAAATCCACCAATGAATTCTGGGTTGCGCATGCCCCTTTTGGACACACTCTGCTAGTCCAACTACTCTGCTTCATTGAGCGTTCTGTGGCTGCGTCAGTGATTTTGCTCATTCGCGTGGTTAGGCCCCCGCACCGGGTCACTCCCAGTGTTCCTGGCGCGGTGTCTCTATACCAGTGCTCCCAGCGCACTGTTGTTTCACGCACTCCTGACTGTCAACGGTCAACTGTCGGCCAGGCCCACGTCATGCGCTAGGCTCAACTCGGGCCTGGTTTGCCGTGTTAGAAGCCTCACTTAGGTCAAGGCAGCCGTCGCTAGTCCGGTCCATGCAGGGTTATTATTCTGGTCAAGACGAGGTTGTCCAGGCTCCCCTACTCTCCCCCTTCCCGCCACCCTCGCCATGGGGGGCCGAATGTTAAGGAGCAACTCCGGGAAGCCCCCTCAGTTCTCCAGCCGAGCCGTTTCTCCGAGCCCACTGAGTCCGCGCCAGATGGGCCTTGGCCGCCTCTCCGTGAGGTGGTCTGTGGGCCGGGAGGGTGGCGTGGTTCTGCCCGGTGCCCTCGGGGGAGCCAGCGAGTCTCACACGCCAGGCCAGGGCGCAGTGCCTGTGAGGTTTCCCGGTGCAAGGCTCCGAGACCTGGCCCTGGCCCTGGCTTCCTGGTGCAGCGAGGCAGGGGGGCTCATGCAGCGTTCCCCCCCAGGTGAGGCGGATGCCCTGATGGAGGAAGAGGAGGACGTGGGGGACGAGGGCTCCGTGGAGGAAGACGAGAAGGAGCTGGGCCTGACAGAGCAGGAGATGGAAGAGCTGAGGGCCCAGGTGCTGCAGCTGCTGGAGGAGCTGGAGGAGACCTGGGAGCTGGCTGTGAAACACGAGGACGACTCGCTGGAGCTGCAGGGTGAGGGCGGCGCGCGCTGGCAGAAGCCCACGGGAAGGCCACTCGTGTGCACGGGGCGTCCGCTCACGTGGACTCCTGGCACGGGCCGTGGCACAGTGCATGTTCCAGCTCCCTGGGTTGGGGGCTGAGTGCGAGGGGGCCTTGTGCGCTCTTGTGAGCACCGTGGGATCTGAGGCGTTTGTGCTCACGGGGTGCCTGGGGGTGATTCTCCCTCTCGCTCTCGCTCACGGGGGAGATCAGCTGATCAGCGTGGCCGGGGGGAGGGGTCTCAGCGTGCTCCCTGCTGACCTCACCTGCTCTGCCGCAGGCTTGTTGGAGGACGAGCGTCTGGCCAGCGCCCGGCAGGCTGAGATCTTCACCAAACAGATCCAGAGGCTGCAAGGTAAGCCCCCGCCTGCCCGAGTTAGCAGGGGCCTGAGCAGCCCCCGGGATGGGAGGGGAAGGGATGGTCTGTCTAGCCCTGGCTCCGGGGGTGCCCAGGGGAGGGGCACTGTCCCCCAAAAGGAGACCCCTGCCCGGCAAGGTGCAGCCAACTGGGGGGCAGCCCGAGGCCTGATGCATGACAATGGGGAGCCCTTGTGAGTCTGATCCTCACGGGTGTCACCCCAGATGCCCCTTATGCTCCTATGTGGATCTCATTCTGCAGTGGACTTTTAGTCAATGGTTTTCCTCCAGCCTGGCCTGCAGCAGTGAGTTCCGCAGGTTAATCGCTGCCCAAGCTGGGGATGATCCTGCTTCCTTGACTTCCAGTGGCTTTACTGGCATGCTGTGGTGCGCACCTCTCCCCGCGCTGGGAGCACCAAGCAGGGGGGGCGTTGGCTGGGGCTTTCCCTGAGCAAATGGGCTCTCCTGGGACTTTTTGCAGCTGCGGGTGCCTAGACCCTGCTGTGAGGGGCTCCCCCTAGAGGCAGGCCGGTGTATAGCCCACATCCCAGCTCAAGCAATTCCCTTCTCGCGCTTTCTGTCCCCCGCTCTTGTCCCGAACGGCTGCCCTGTGCCTGGGAGCAGCTGCCGGGCGCCCCCCCAGCAGCGGCTGCCCATCACTGCTTGGCCCCGTGATCGCTGGGCTTGGCAGTTCTCCTTCAGGATCATTTAACCCTTTCTTTCCCCGCAGCCTCCCCACCCTACTGCAGGCTCGTGGGGCAGGGCACTTTGCCAGCTCCCCATTGAGCGGCTGCCAAACTCCTAAAACAGTCGGTGATGTGATAGCTGACGGCCCCGCTTGGTCACTCGCTGGCACCTTTGTCTTGTGGTCAGTGCGACCCTAAGTCCCCAGACATCCCCCGTTCCTGCGACTGCCGGGAGACTGGACTGGGGCTCCGGTTCCCTGCGAGCGTGTGACCGGGCTCCCTCTGCTGTTATTTCTCGCCCGTGTCTATTGCCTGCTATCTGTGTGTGCACGCTTGTGCCGTGGAGCTGCAAATAGCCCTTGCACTGTCGGACACGGACACGCACGCACTCGTGCGCACGCACGCACACGTGTCTGCTGCCCGGGGCCCCTCCCACAGGCAGTGCAAAATTAATCCCTCCGATGTGTTTGTTGCTGGTGCCGTGCGCAGTCGGGCCTCCCCGCCGATGGGGCTCCCCGCCAGACATGGTCAGAGCTGTTCTCTCCCAACCCCTGTGGTCTGTCCCTGTCTGTCCTTGCTGAGCGCAGCACTAGGGCGGTCCCGTGTGGGATGGAAACAAAGGGAAAGCCCTGCCCATCCTGGCTAATGTAGCCATTGATGGACCTGCCCTCAGGGACTGGTTTGGGTCGTTGTAATCCCTGTTATACCTTCGGGCTGCACAGCATCCCCCGGCGAGGAGTTCCACAGGTTGGCTGAGCATTGTGTGAAGAGCTGTTTCCTGGCGTTTGCTTTAAATCTGCTGCCTATTGATTTCTTTGGGTGAGCCCAGGTGCTTGTGCTCTGGGAAGGGGTAAATAACCTTCCTATTCTCTTTCTCCAGCTCAGATATTATAGCCCCCGTGGCAAGTCACCACCGCTGCCATGGCAGGCTCTGCACTCCCCCAGGGCAGGGGGCTGGGAGGAAGTCAGCCCCTCTCCGGACGGCGTTTGCTCTCCCACTTCACAGGGGAAGTGTATTTCCCCATATGTTCCAGGCAGGCCTCGGGCTAGGCCCAAGCAGCATCCCTCTGCCGACCCAAGGAAGAACCCCAACGATTCCCACGCAAAACAAAGGGACTCCTCTCCCTGCCCTTCATCGGAGGGGAGAGGGGCAAAGGACTCAGGCGACCCTTAGGGGTCCCAAATTGACCAGAGGAGACCCCTTCTCTGCTTGTAGGGAACAGGGCCG